CCAATCTTTCTGCAGCAGATTTAAAAATAACGAAAATGCCTTTTGAAATTAGATTGTCATGTTAAAGCTTATATGAGATTTTAGGGGTCTATTCACCCAGCTTCGGCTGATCCTTCGGCTAGCTGCGGCCCCAGGACCCCTTCGGTACAGTAGAACCGAAGGGCTGCTGTCAGGGCTATTCACTTCCCAACGCCATCTGTCATTACTTTTTTCCGGACGCTCTGGGAGTCTAATACGACTCCTGGCCGCTCGGGGGAGAAAAACTTTCTCCCAGATAGGTTCACTCTGTTCGATTGAGCAGAGTAAACCTTTCCCTGCTTGGGGTTTTTTTTTTTCTGACATCGGAGCCGTTGGCTGCCGTCAGAATATTAAAAAAAAAAAAAAATCACCATAGTAATGCAGAGCTAGATTCCTATTGGCTATTTCAATTTGCAATAGCCAATAGCAAACTAGCTATTGCACCCGTCGTCTGCTGCTGTCAATCAGCAGAGGGGGACGAGCAGTTCTCCATCAGTTCCCCCTCTGTTGATTGACAGCAGCAGAGGGCGGGTGCAATAGCTAGTTTGCTATTGGCTATTGCAAAGTGAAAAATGCCAATTGGAATCTAGCTATGCATTCCTATGGTGATTTGTTTTTATTCTGATGGCAGCAGAACCGCCCGGCCAATAGAAAACAGTTGGGCGGAGCTAGCTGTCACTGCTAGCTCCGCCCAATCGTTTTCTATTTAATTTTTTACTTTTTTTAACTGTTTTTCTATTCTGCTCGGTACCACAGAGGTACCGAACAGAACAGCAGAGCCGAATGCCGCTCGGCGGCTATTCACTCACTGCTGTTCGGCATCGATGAGTATAGGCCGAACAGCAGCGAGTAGCCTGCCGGAGGTTCGGCTTAGCCGATCCAGATGTTGGATTGGCTGAGTCGAACTCCTTCTGCACTTCGGGTCGGCCGAGCATGTTAGGCCGACCCGAAGCCACCCGATGTACGGCTGATTTCAGCCGATATAAGGCAGGAATCACCAGCCTGAAGTGAATAGCCAACCAGCCTGAAGTGAATAGCCGAACAGCGTTCGGCTCACTTCGCTTCGGGTCGGTTAGTCACTCGGCTGCCTACGGCAGCTTAGTGAGTAGACGCCTTAGTGTCTGGGTTTACACACGGACGTTTACATTTTATAGCCACGCTGCCATTGCTGAATAATTGACGATGGAGAATCATTGGTTGGATTTTGTTATTTTTTTTAGTGCACACAGGCGTTTGAAGTTCATTTCTGATACATTGATAAAAAAAAGAAATTGCAACACAGCGTTTGAATTCCGAACAGGATCGTATGTATCATCTGTATGCATGGGACTGCATGGGTCTTCCTCCTCTTCAGAATAAACACAACATAAATAAGAAAACAACAGATGCGTGTATAAGTTTCACTGGCTTTTATTTAGTCCACGGAACTCTGTTGAATTAAACTTTAGCAACATAACTTTAAAACACAAATAACTTTATTAAGATTACATTAGTAACCAAATTGTCCATCAACAAAAGTAAATAAATCAACATCTAGGGCTCAGCCACGTATGCCCAAGCCCCAAATACCAACAGATAAATCCAGTCCATAATCACTTGTCCACTCACATAGTGAGCGACATTCCCTACATAGGGTTTAACCGCAACAGAAAAAAGAACTGAGAGCGAGGGGAAGTTCAAGACTCCTGTGAAGAAAATCCCAATGACCTCTGCTGAGAAGAATTATTTAAAGCTATAGGTCACCATTTGGAAAAAAATAATAATGAATCCACACATAGGGATACAATAAAAAAATGTGCAGTGATTATTTTATGTATTGGAGCCTGCAGAGCATTGCAACAGTGATTAGAGTATGTGTGCAATAGATGGGCTCCTGCAGACTCTTCATCTAAGCTGAGATCTGTGGGTATAGACCTACCATTATGGGTCTGAAGCAGGGGTGGGCAACTCCAGTCCTCCAGCTGTTGTGGAACTACAACAGCTGACTGTAACAGGCACGACTCCCAGAGGCAGAAGCATGTTGGGATATGTAGTTAGAGCACAGCTGGAGGGCAGGAGTTGTACCCCCCCTCGGTCTTGAGAAAGTAATCAATGGACTTCAAGTGTCAGCACATCAGCACAGTTGTCCTTCACTGAGATCTACAAGTCCCTCTGCCACGATGGCAGGAGGGTGTTGTAGTCTTCCATTCACAGATCCATGGGCAGTTTCAGGGTGGGGGCTGGGCAATGTGATCAAGTTTATGTTACAGCCGAAATATGGGTGTAACATGAAACATGGTCGCAAAGGCGAACTTAGCTTTTAAAGACACAAGTAGCAGAATATTGGTGACCATGCATGGTGTCATTGGTTGCAAAACACAGGCAGCCCTTGGCCGCTTTGACATTTGCCGGGCCCAGATTTTGGATGGGTTTGGCAAACGTATAAGCAAACTGAACCCAGGCTAGTTTGGCTCATTGCTATCCCGCTGAAACCAACCAATCACAGGTGAGTAGAGTCGTTCACTTTTCCAAGAATCGGGTCACAAAATCTTTTTTTTAGACCCTAGACCAGGGGTGGGCAACTCCAGCCCTCCAGCTGTGCTTTAACTAAAAATGCCATCATACCTCTGCCTCTGGGAGCCATGCCTGTGGCTGCCAGAGTCTTGCAATGCCTCATGGGACTTGTAGTTCCACAACAGCTGGAGGGCTGGAGTTGCCCACCCCTGTCCTAGAACAAAACGAGCACTTAACCTTTGCAGTGCTGGGTAGCAATCTTTTACATGCCCGGAGTTGTTCTCACTTTGAAGACACAATTGTGTGCAATGAAATAAAAAATAAATGAAAAAAAGAAAAAAAACCTCTAGTATTTTTCCTGCACATGATTGGATGGTTGATGTGAACAGAACTTATTCACTATGCTCAGCGAATATTCACTTAGCAGACATGCTGTACACCTTTAATAAAGGTGGACAAGCCTTCAAGGTGGCAGCATCTGAAGCATTTTACTTCATTACCTGTAACCATCATGTAAATAAAGCCGACCCTCAGTGAAAGCTTCACCTAGTCTATTTAGTGAAGTGCTGCGTCTTCCAGTGTTTGTTTGGATACAACAGGTTCTCATGGGCCCTCTGACCATGGCAACCATATTAGTTAGTGAAGCAAAGTGAGGCCTAAACATTTATTGTTAGTTTTGGATGGATGAATTAACCCCTTAAGGACCAATGACGGAATAATTCCGTCATGGGTCCTTAAGGGTTTAAGCTTCCGTCATGCACTAAATGAGAACTTATATATGTCTATGTCACATCAGATTAAAGCCCTTTTTGTCCTTTAAAAATGGTATATAATATGTGTTGGTGCAATAAATGAGAACGATGGAAATTGCGGTTGAACATACAGATCAAAAATTGCTTTGGTCCTTAACTGAAATACAAGCACCTGAAGCTTGGTGCTTAAGGGGTTAAAGGTTAGAACACTGTAAGGATTTGATTGCCGTTTGTGCGCCCACTGGGGTGATTGGCCCTATTTATCTGGTTCGCTATTGTCACCGGGACAGAAAAGTGAGGAGAAATCTACCATTTTACACTTGTTACCGCAAAAAGGAAGAGAGGGGAAATCTGCTAATGGGGACACCCGCCTCAACGACAAATGTCTGAGGCCTTGTTTACATGGGCAGCAAGGGGGAGGAAAAGCCAGGCGGTTGATCTACGGTTATACCCTCCTCCTGGTCGTCTGCTGCAATGTCAGCGCTGCTGCCAAACAGTGCTGCATACATTGCCGCAGCAGAGGATGCTTTGTGTTGTGGCAAAAAAATACATAGAATGTCATGTTTGCCATGTGGTGCCGCTTGTCAAACGCAATCATTGCAACGAATGGGAACGCATGGTATTAACGTGGCATTTGTAGCTGTAAAAAATCGCTTCTTAGCAACAAATTCCCCAGCAGTTATAGCCATTAAATTACTAGATACATGTTGCTGTTATTAGTGATTTAATGAATCGCTGCTACCAAAATCGTCCGTCTGACACGTCCCTTACTTAATATTTAAGGCTCATGCACACGGATGCCCAGTGTAAAATTTGGGCGTATTTCCCCATTTGGGAGCCACAAGTAATGTGTCCAGCTGCTCATAGAAATCAATGGCTGTATAAACAGGTGCATGCCCATGTGCGCAGACTGTCTGCGTCCAGGGTCTGTACGCATGCACACAGATGCTCAGTGTAAAATTTGGGCGTATTTCCCCATCTGCCCATAGAAATCAATGGCTGTATGCGGCAAGGCGTACACCCATGTGCGCAGACTGTCTGCGTCTAGGGATGTATGTCTGTACGCATGCCGCGTTTACACATATACTAATTTAGAGCTATTGGTTTCTATGGGCGGCTGAATGCAGCACTTATGATTCCTGCGCAGGGAAATGGACCCAAATTTTACATTGAGCCCTAAATAATTAGTAGCGGCCATGTAGGACGGGCGATTTTTTGTAGCAGCGATTTATCTAATGAATGTCAGCAATTTGTAGCTAGCATTGCGATTTGAATTTATATTTTAAATGTGCATTTATTATGCAGTAAAGTGCTCTGTAAACCAAACCCAGTAAACACCAAAGAACGGGCCCCTGTGTGGTAATGGAGCCTGGTGCTGAGGGACACACTATAATCACGCTCTCAGCAAATGTATTCAAATGGCGTAGTGTGAGCTCAGCTTAGTCATGTTTGTCCTAATATTGTACACATTTTTTTGTATTTTTGATCATTTTCTGTGGACTGTGACGGCCATGACGTCACGGCACTGTATTCCCGCCGCCAGGGAAACGCGCTTTCTCTTTTTTTAATAATCACATGCGAGGACACTGACTCCGTGACCTCACTGTACAACATTCGACATGCCCCTCGCGTTGCCCTAGCAACCGACACGCAACCCCTCCCTCCTGGCCTGAGGCTGCGGAGCGTACCATCTGCCTCGCCGGGCGGGAAGGGGGGGGGGGATCAAGTTTTTCGGCTGCGGTGACATCATGGAAACCTGCGCTACACGTGTCGCCTTATTGGCTCCCCCTGCAGACCGGCTCCTTGGGAACGTCCGCTGCCGCTGGGGTCGCCATGGAGACGGAACATTGTTAGGCTCGAGCTGAAGCGCATCTAGGAGACCAGAAACAGAGAGACGGTGAGCGGCCCGAACACAGCGCACAGCAACCATGAGCCAGCGGCAAGTCCTGCAAGGTAACTGCCGGGAGGAATTCATTTATTGGGACAGTAATGGCCTGATTATAAAAGTGGAGCTGCATACTTGTGCGCAGGTCCTGATTGGCAGGGACAGTGCCAGGTCCTGAGGGATGTGTCCCTGGAAAAGTCCCTGGCCATGTCTCCAAATATGTGCTTCATGGGGGAAATGAATAAAAAGTGTCTGAGGCAAACTTCATGTCATTAGCGCAGCTAATCAGCTTTTACCTTTCATTTTCTAAGCTGTGCGGGAAAATGAGAGATGGAAGCTGATTGGTTGCTATGGGCAACGGAACCAGCTGAGATGGAACTTATCTCAGACACTTTTCATTAGTTAATTTCTTCTCCTTTTGCCTTGTTTTGGACAGAGTGCGGGAGGGTTAGAACCCATGACAGGTGTGTACTGCTGTTTGTGTCCCCGCCGTGCAGATTCACCCTTCTCTATGTGTTGTCACCAGGAAAGTGAGAGAAAAGCTGTCACCGGGACAGGAACAGAGAAGCAATCTTCCAATAGGGACACTTTTCCGGTGACAGCTGTCCAGGAGGGGATCTATCTCACTTCCTGTTGCGTCTACAGGACAGGATGTGAAGGGAAGTCACCCCAAAGGGGCACAGATGGCAGAAAAAGGAAAACCTGACGGGGTTTAAGCCTTTCTTTCCCCACGGCATCCAAAATTAAAGCAAAATAATAACTTTAGATTCTATTTACTTTAAGTTCCTGATTTGCTGGAAATGTACAATTTATATACACTTCCAGGATCCATGCACACTGATCCGTACGACTCGCCACGCACATTCTCATGCATGTTCATAAACATGCGTTGTACTGGATTCAAGTAGTACGGTAGGATAGAGTAAGGGAGGGTATAACCCCGGTCTGTATCCCTTTTGCCATCTGTGTCCCATTGTGGAGATTCACATTCACTTCCTGTCCCATAGCCGCAACAGGAAGTGAGAGGAAATCCTTCCAAGTGAGTGAAATCCCTGTTTGCACCAGAACCAGTGACCCCATCCGGAGATTTCCGTTTAATTCCCTTTCTGGTGACAACAGAACAAAATTTGGGAATGACTTTCAGTGATAACGGTCACCATGGCAGATAGAGTGGGGGGGGGGGGGCG